AAATTATATTAGCTTTCCTTTTAAATGTGTTCTGGGTAATAAGTCATAAAAAATCCTCAAGGATTTTCAAGGAAATGATGAACATAATAATTGAAAAGATAGGGATGTTCAGGAGAAACATAGAAACTTTCTTTATGCAAAATAGAAATACTCGAAGTAAGAAATATAAAATCTGAAATGAAACATTTACTCAGTAGGAGATTGGACATAATAAAGGATCAGTGAACTTAAAGACAGATCAGTAGAAAGTATCCAATCTAAAGAAAACAAATATATTTCAAAAAATGAGCACAGTATCAGTGACTTATGGAAGAAAATCAGATAGTCCAAAATACCTGTAATTGAAGCTTGGTGGAAAACATTGACCTACCGATCCAAAACTCTCAGTGAAATCCTAATAGAAGGAATCAATACCTAGGCACACCATATCTTGGCACAGCATAGAAAAATTACTGAAAACTAGTGATGAGGGATAAATCTTTAAAATACTCAGGAAACAAAAAATTATATCTGTAAAATACCCAGGAAACAAAAAGGAGCAACAACTAATATGAATTATGACTGACTTCAAATCAGTAACAGTGATTCCGAAAGATAATGGAACAGCAGCTTTAACTTGCTGAACAAAATTAAAATTCTCAACACGAAATCTTACATCCAGTGAAAATCATCCTTAAGTGAGGGTGAAATAAATATACTTTTAAATCGTGAAATTAAATTGAAATTAGCAGCAACACTACCAGAGAAGCTGAAGAAAGTTTTTCAGATAGGACAAAAATGATACCAAATGAAAACTTGGCTCTACATAAAAGAATGAAGAGTCCTGGAAATCATAAGCATATGGACTAATATTAAATCTTTTTTCCTTATTTTAAAATTTCTTTAGAAGATAATTGTTTAAAACAAAAGTAATAACAATACATTGTATTTATTATGTCTGCATGAAATGTAGACATGAAATGAATAATGGCAACATCACAGGGGAAAGTAAATGGAATTATATTGTTGTAAGACTTGTGCCTTTTAACTGAAGTGGTACAATATTAATTTTAGGTAGACTGTGAAAATTAAAATTGCATATTATGGTACCTAGAGGATTTTCTAAAAATGTAAATAGGTATGTTGTTTTAAAAACTCAAAAGAGAAAATTTTTAAATACTTTAAAAATGTTGAATCAATAAGAAGAAAAGGGGAACAAATAGAAAACAAATAAGATGTTACACTAAACTCCAAATGTATTAGTAAATAATGACATTAAGTTCAAACTGGCTGGATACTCAAAAAGCAGACAGGAATTTTTTTTAAGTCAGCAATTGTCAGACTGGATAAAAACCAAGACCTAAGTATGTTTAGTGTATAAGGGAAACACTTTAATCTTGGTGAAACAAATAAATTGAAAGTAAAAATGTGAAAAATATATATCCTGCAAACAGTAAATGTAAGACAAAGTGCCTTCAAAAACAAAGAAAATATCACCAGAGATAAGAGAGACATTATAATGACAAAAGTTCAGTCAGGCAGACATGACAATCCTAAAGAAGATAACTGAGCTTCAAATGCATAAAGCAAAAGCTGACAAACCAAAAAAGAAATAGATAAATATAATACTTCGTAGAACATGTCAAAAAATCATGAATATATAA